ATTTCTAAAGTGTTGGTACTGAAAGTTCTTGCTCAGATTAAAATTCAACTTGCCAGTTTGCCCAGTGTAGCAGATGCCCCAGTGCCTCATTACATTCAAAGTCCTGCAGCTCATGACGAGCTAGCTGAAGTGAGACTGCACAGTTTCATCCATGGCTCAAGTGTATGACTTCAGTTTCAGTGATGTTAAAATATAGCTTTCATAAACACATAGCTTAAACCTTTTGTATGACTTCAGTTTCAGTGATGTTAATATATAACTTTCATAAACACTTAGCTTAAACCTTCAAGTCAAACATCAGCATTGTTCAGTTGTTTATTGTCCTGTGATACCTCTGACCCACAGGTGGCTTTACTTGAGCCGCTGCTTTGCCGCCTGCTGTACTGGCACTTTGATGAAATAGCTTATCAGTTCCTGGGAGAGGAGGTGGGCGTAACTCAAATTTTGTCAGACTCTGCTATCTGGCTGCTGAGGTAATGTGCCATGGTTAAGTTTTGATATTTGGGAGCATACACAACAACCATGATGTTCAAGAACTTTCACACACATACTAATACACGAAAAGGGCAGGAATATAGTGTGAATTTTACTGTAGCGTAGAGTTTCTTTATGAACTTTCATAGCACTGAATCACAGTGAGAGAAACTTTAAAAAGTCTCATTCTCATATTCAGATAAATACTGCGATGCTGTGTTTATACAGGGTGGACTTCACGATGGAGTTTCCGCGTCCTCTCATGCCTAATGTGGTATTAGTCGGTGGCATCAACTGTAATGTGAAGAATCCTCTGCCTGAGGTAAGGCTTCTGTGTGTTTCTGATTTGGAAAAAGCATCAATATCTAAACTTTAGTTCACTTCCTCCTCCTTTATGTAGGAAGATAGAGAAATAAATAGGCAACGAGTCCTGAACTGAGACTGCAGCACTCAGTTTGTGTTTTTGCAGGATTTGGAGCCCTGGGTGTCAGGAGAACATGGATTTGTGGTATTCACTCTGGGCTCCATGGTGTCAGATCTATCAGAAGAAACAACCTCCGTCTTCCTAGAGGCCTTCAGACAGATTCCACAGAAGGTACAGGGATGTACATGAGCATACGCTGTATAAAAATTCATTTGATATCACACAACAATGCAACAATTATAGCATCAGTAAATGACACTTAGCTTCTCTGACAGGTGATATGGAGATATTCTGGACAGGTTCCTGACAATGCCCCAGAAAATGTGAAGATGATGAAATGGGTGCCTCAAAATGAGCTGCTAGGTCAGTGAATGTGTTACATCACAGCACCTGACAATACCTCTACCTGCCTGTTAAACTAACTTTATGTGTGTTTGTGTTTTAGCACATCCTGGAGCTCGAGCTTTCATCACTCACTCTGGTTCACATGGTATCTTTGAGGGACTGTGTCACGCTGTTCCCATGGTGATGGTGCCACTTGCTGGTGACCAGCAAGACAATTTCCCATGGTGATGGTGCCACTTGCTGGCGACCAACGAGACAACGCACAGAGGATGGCGAGCAGGGGAGCAGGAGTCATCTTGGATATTTTTTCTATCACTACAGAAAAGCTCCTCTGGGGATTGAATGAGGTCATCAATGACACTAGGTGAGGGGTCAGAAGGTCATTCAGAATGTGTTTGTCACTTTTGGTATGTGCTTTTAACACTGTCTTACTTCAACACTGTGTACTTAATCTCTTTGGGTCTGTCTGTATATCCAGATATAAAGAGAGAGTTCAGAAGCTGTCAGCTCTCCATAAAGACCGGCCAATCGACCCACTCGACCTCTCAGTGTTCTGGACAGAATTTGTGATGCGCCACAAAGGGGCGAAGCATCTTAAATCTGCTGGACAGGACCTCAACTGGCTGCAGTACTTTTGCCTGGATGTTTTAGCACTACTGGCTACTGCAGTGTTGGTTTTTCTAATGCTAACAGTAAAATGCTTGAAACTGTGCTTCCGGAAACTGAGCAGGAAGAGGAAGCAGGACTAAACTACTAGTAGTGGTAGACTGATTGACTGATTAATCTGACCAATATTTGGCACTTTCAGATAACTGGCATCGGCCGATGTCATGCTTACAAGGCTGATTAACAAACACATCTGCAGGTAGCCTTGTTCAGTGTTTTCTAAATTACATGTGGACATGTTTTTGAATTTAAAATAATGGGAGTGCAGAATGTAGCAGCAGAGCCAGTGCTCGGTTTTAATTTTTGAATACATGAAATAATTTGAATATTTTTATGATTCATTAGTGTTAAATAAATTAAATACATGTTCATTTCATTTCAACAGATTTGTGTCATTTGTTATTGAATATTTGAATTTTATCTGATGAAAAAGAAAAAAAGACAACATGATATCAGCATAGCGTCAATCTGCCTTTGGTCTCCCTGCTGTCTAAAGGTCATCCTTGGCCCGTGAGAGACCATTATCTGTCGATCACAGCTTAATGCTACTGTATATTTGCATCTTCATCTCAGCAATAACACTGTTAAGATGAAAAATTCATTATTTTTAAAAATATAATGCAAAGCCAGTAAAGTCATAAGCACTCTCAATGGAGTGCTTTTGTGTGTTATGGCTGTACATTTGTTTGTATTGGCACTAGTATTGTCATTTTGGCCAGGTCTCCCTAAAAGCAAGGAGCAGTGTTAGGAATCACTCTGGATACAAGCATTAACAGATATCTCTTGTAGGTAAAAGTACTCACCGTGCCCATGGGTCCTTGAGGCCCCTGGCTGCCAGCCTCTTCTGTGTGAACTCCAGTGGTGTTCCCTCAACCTTCCACTGCCGCCAGTCTGGCATTGACAGCTTGCCATGGCCGTGGTCACCTCCCATGCTGAAAACAGATACAAATACAGGTCTAAGCGTGTTGGCTGTTCAGACACCTCACATACATTAAAACAATGATTATACGAGAGGCACAAATGTCAGCCTAGTGCATATTAAATAAAAATGTTGACACAACCTCCAAACATTTGATGCCCCATTGGGCTGGATTCAATCTGACTTTTAAGTAAGGGCGTCAGGAAGATGCTAGCCAAGCTAACATCTCTGCATGGTGACTCCCAGCACATGCAAAAGACTCTGTGAACAGTGGGCAGCCCTGTCAGTGACAGGCTGCTTCACCCCAAGTGCATGATGTGGTGTTATCACAGGTCCTTCCTTCCTGCTGCTGTCAGGCTATACAACCAGCACTGACCCCCCTACGTCGACCTCACACACCCACGGACTGAATAACTGTGAATACACAGCATACCAGGGTACTGTCTTACTTTTTTATTATTATAGCCACAACTGTTTACATTTAGACTGATAATACCCCATGTCTTACTTTTTGATTCTTAACACTGGGTGCCCGTCTTTCTCTGTCTTTGCTGCTGTAACGGTGTGAAATTCCCCATCGTGGGACTAATAAAGGTTTATCTATTACAGATTACTCAGTAATATACATAGTTACAAACAGTAATGTTGTATCAAACAGAAACGTACAAGATAAGACTTCCATTACTCATTTTATCGTATCTACGTCAAAAAGGAATACAGAGTTGTTTTGTAAATACCTCTATATTATAATAAATGGTACATTATGGCTTAGAGTATCTCTTATCTGCTTTCGATTAGTTGAAACCATGGCTCCAATAAGCACTTTGGCTAAACCCTGGCACAAGTGTTTTGATTATTTTAGTGTCAGTGTTGTTAAATATGTACTGATCTTTTGATAAAAAACAAACAAACAAAAGAAACAAACTTCCAGATGACCTACTAAAGCTCAAGTGTCATAAACATAACGTCATTTTGTAGTACGTGCCTTTAGTTATCGATGACAACTTGTTTGAAACTAATCACTATCACGGATGTTTTCCTATCAAAAGCAATGCTAAGGTACACAGCGTTTCCTCAGCTAGCACCGTTCTGTCGAGAGAGACAAATAAAATTACAGTGTTTGTTCTAAAACGACTTATCTACTCCTCTACATGTACAACGATAGTGCTATAGCAACACAACTGTAAAAATGCATGGGAAAAATCACGTTTTAATAAAGAACATGTACTATACCCAACTAGATTGTCGTGACCTCTGCTGTTTCTAAAAAGTAGCGACAGTTAGCAACGTTTTGCGGCAAAGCCCTCGAGACAAATTCCAAAAATGATTCTTCTTCTGTTTTTTAAGGCGGTTGGCAACCAGCTTTAGGCGCATTACCGCCACCTTTTAGACTGGAGTGTGGTTCAGAACGGACCCTACCTACTAATAATATAAAATAACCCCACTCAGTTCACTTTATATAATCTGGTGTAACCCCGTGCTCTCTAAAAACCTAATAAGTGCTCTGTGTCTCCTGACCTTTGTCCCAACACCTCCGGTAAACTAAAGTTCATTCCACATCTTAAAACTGTATTTTTGAATAATTCCCTCTCCTGCCTGAACCAGGGAAAACTCATTAGGGTAGGGTAGAACATTATTGATCCCACAGTGGGGAAATTCCAGTGTTCCAGCAGCAGTAAGGGACAAAAACAACAGAGAGCAAGCAACAGGACACCATAAGAACAGACACCACACACCAATCTTAATAAACAAATTCAGAAAACACGGAAAGAAAAAAAAAACACAAGAGGACAGAGCTACTGGAACTCGCTGCCGCTCCAGTAGCTCTGTCCAAAAATTAGACACAGTTTCTTGTAACCTACACATCTCACATTCCCCTGTAGTATGCTTCTTGATTATCTTCAATGTACTTTTTAAACCAGTTTGCACAATTTACTGTTGTCATTTCAGTTGTATTGTATGTGTAAACTGTAAAACAGCAGCTGCTTTAGTATTACAAAACTAAATATAACATTACTAACATATATTTATTATTAGCACTCATCTTTGAGCATTTAGGCCGATTTCAGTTCAAGATCCAAAGAGATCTCTAGATTCGTTCTTAATATAAATGAGTATTTCATTATTGACCTCCTGGTAGACAAAGTTTTGCATCCACAGTTCAACATGCTATCTCACTCTCACTCAAGTGTTTTAATATTCATGAAGAATTTTTTGTTTTCCTTTTATAACAAGAAGTCTCACATTTCACGTTATACAAACATGTTTTGTAACACGTTACATTAGGATGTTAATAGTACCAATACTGTATATCAGAGATAGGCAATGTAAGGCACCTGTTCTCCATGCATTAATGAGCCTGTGATCAAATACACCACAAACCTCTCCTCAGTTATAAAGAATTACATGATCAGGGCACTGTAAAAAGGACAGTGGTTTAAAAAAGAATTACTATCACTGCTGCAGGACCCTCCAAAAAAAGCCATCTTGCTTTTGACAAATAGTTCCTGATTTTGATAAAGCCTTAGAGACATTAAATTGGTGCACAATTTCTAAAGAACACACTGCAACTTTCTACAACATTCAATAGTCTGTCACACAACATTATACAGGAAATTCATGTTGCTCTTAATTAAATACAATTATGTACAGAATTTACTAAGTCACTCCATCTTATGACCAGGCCACCTGGTGTTTTGCTTGTATGACCATGCTTGCAGTGTCTATACAGCTAAAAGCCCATGATGTTTATGGGTCAACTGGGTACTGAAACATTAGGTTCAGACCACATATGTCACAAAACTGCCTTATAGTTTGCTTTGTGGGTTGAGCAGCTCCTTCAGAGCATCTAGGTTGTCCCCCTCAGGTGCGCTGGGCCATGCACTGTGGTCTGGAGACAAACATCCACAAGAATTTAGCCTGTTAGATTCTATATAAAACTGTGGAATTACAATATGTGTGCATTAGCAAGCTGTACATACTGGGTATTTCCCACATGGAGTGGTACAGACTTTGTCCTGCATCAATCCTCAGTGTGGCTCCTGAAACATAGGAGGCGGCAGGAGAGAGCAGGAAACACACTGCTGATGAGACCTGGACAGAAAAACAATGAAAAAGAGAGAAGTTGCCACCACTGTCTGTGGCTCTGCAGCAACCAACACACACTCAGCACATCATCTGTATCTGTGGCTCTCAGTTACAAAGTATTTATTTAAAGAGCTCGACCAACCACCTCCTCTCACCTAGGTTGCACACTTTTACTTTGTTACATGGCTTGCCAATCATTTCTTTATATCATCTGCTTCTAATGCAGTTTGGGGTTTTTAATCTTTTTCACAAGAAAAAAAAAATGCTACAAAAAAAGCCCATGGGATTTAATAAGAAATTTAGGAGGGAAAGGCTATTAAAATCTACTAAGTGAACCATATATAAATATGGGTTTTGTACACTTTAAAAACACCACTGATTTTATCAAATGACTCTGCTTATGTATTAATTCCAATAACACTTTTTAAATATAGCAGCTCTGAGTTTCATGCGTGCCATTCCTCAGGTTATTGTGGGTAATTTGAAGTAATTAGACACCTCCTCTGGCACTCCCAGTCTCTTTGCAGGACTAAATGGAACAGACATCTTGAAAAGAAGTGGTCCATACTCCTTGTAATTCTCCATCGCAGTTTTGGAGAAGATTGTACCCTGCAACCAGACAAATGCAGAGACCTTAAATGACCACATAATTAATGAACTCCAACACATGATTCTGCACTAACATACAACCTGTGCATACAGGTGCAACGGCATTAACTCGTACTCCTGAGGCTGCCCACTCGATGGCCAGACTCTTTGTTAAGTTATCCACCGCTGCCCTCGCTGCTCCTGTGTGGCTGTCAAGGAGAGAGGACAGTGTTTCAGCATAAGGGGATAAAGTCTGTGGGTTTGTAAATTTGTGTGAACATTTAGGGAGGTGGTGCTTACGCCATGCCTGGAAAGCCTTTCCACATGTCAGCAATGATGTTCACAATCACACCTCCATGCTGTTTCATCCACGCGATGTATACTGTGTGGAGGTCACAGCAACACAGTCACAATGAGAGCTTAAACAGACTGAAACAGTGCTACCCACACGCAGCATACCTTCCTTGGAGCAGTGAAAGGTTCCAGTCAGGTTAGTGTCTATCACAGCCTTCCAGCCTTTAGAGGACATGTGCTCTGCTGGGCTGCTGAACTGACCTCCTCCATTGTTCACCAGAAAGTCTATCCTGCCAAACTGCTTCAGCACTGATGATACAAGAGCCTTCACCTGCCACACAGGGGATCAAAAAAATATATCACAAAGTGAAATCATTCCTTTGCAATCAGTCCCAGACAACTAGCAGCAGTGTCAGAGGCTGAAAATGTGTGTGAGCCCACCTCATCCTCGTTACGGATGTTGCATGGCAGAGGCATGACACATGCAGGGCTGGAGGGAGGGATTTTTTGTCTCATCTCCTGAGCCGCTGCCTCCAGCCTCTCTGCTTTTCTACTGGAGATCACCACACTGCAGCCTGAACACAAAAAATCAGCCAGGATGAAACTGCAATCATGTCCATACTGAAAGATGAAGATTATGATGCATTTTTTTGTAAGCAAGAGAGATATGACTGCTGAAGTTATTTTGTTTTGTGAAGTGTTATTTGGGATAAGGTCAACACAACTCAAATTTTTCACACTGAAGACAAAATTAAAATATAATTTAAAAAAGTTATTTGGACTTTAACATAAACTGATTTTTCAGTAGCCTATTTATGCAACAACGACAAACTTCAGTTGGAGATTAAATGAAATTCTGTGGCCAGATTAGGACTTGTTCTCATAGCTACCACGTACCGTGAATGCTTCTAATATCCTTAACCCCTTTACCTCGATTCACAGGCGTCAGTGTTCAGATCTGAACAGCTAAAGCTGTGTCGAAGTTCACATGGCTCTTACGGTCAGTCGTTGTTCAATTCAAACTGCCTGCACCGTGTCCACTCATTCTCACACACAGCATCACTCACCCAGCTCCAGAAGCTCTGCAGAAATAGCTCTACCGATCCCGGTCCCTCCACCCGTCACTATTGCAACTTTATGTCTGAACAAGCCTGGTCTGAAAACACTGGACGCCGCCATACTTGTTTGTTGATTCCGCTGAGGTCAGACCTGCGCCCCCTGCTGGACGTTTTACGGCAGCTCATGTGTCTGGTGGTGGTAATTTTTCTACATAAATGATGTGTATAAAGATTTTTCTCAACTTTTTCTAAAATGGTTATTTACTTAGTCATGGATATTTAATGTTTCATGAAAATAGCAACCTAGAGATTAAGACTTTAAATCATGTTTTCAAGAAATGTCTCAATAAAACAACATTTTTCTATTTTCGTAACACCAACTGTAAAATATTTCATTATCAATCTTATTAGTCTCTGTTTTTCATGAAAATAAATGGCTGGAAGGCAAATATTTGTTTCAGGAATTATTTCAAAGTATATTTAGCTATTTAGCAAATGTTAAATGACACAAGTCAATTTTATTTTAAAGGTGTTTATACAACACTCCTGCATTCTAACATTCTAATTTTTCTATTAAAAATCTGCAACAAATAAATATTCTGAATAAGTGCCATCACTAGCAGTCCTGACTTTTATTGTTCTGATTTCCATCAAAATGACAATGTCCAAAAACTCTCCATCCCTCTAGTTTATATGTAGACAATGCTGCCTTGCCCTTATTCATAGACTTTTAGTTGAAAGTCTGTGTTGAAATTTTCAGTGTATGAATATTTAATATGTGCTGGCTATGTTAATTTGTTACATAAAATGAACAAAGCAATTAAAATGCTATTACACTGTTTTACCACAATGTTTTTTGTGAAAAAGCTTGTCACATCTGAAGTTTTGCATGATGAGTATTTACCAAATGACCACGTAGATTCCATTTCACAAGAACACATCTTGATCTTTTATTGAAGCATTTTCTCTGACTGCAGAGTCAGCAGTATTCTTTAAACTGTGTTAGATGCCACAGCAGAGCCAGTTACTGTCCAAAGCAGGTTTCCAATCAGTAAAAACACCCAGAAATCTGTGGGTTACTTGTTGAATTTACTAAAACACAGTAGTGTAGGTGTTTAAGCCGTCCCTGGTAGGCTAGTGGCCGCAATGCAGAAGAGGAGAATCACTTTCTTAGCTTGTCACCGTTACATGCAATTGTACTGGGACAGTTCTGCTTATGATGGTGCAGCTTTACTGGCAGCCTGAGCACCAGAGTAAATTTCTCACTCATGCAGGGTTGGTGAGTCATGTTCTGTACAGCAGTAGAGTTTTCATTTTACTTTGACATTACAGATCAAATGTACAAAGACACGAACAAAGGATTCCGCTCCAGACCACTTTATTTGGGGATGCTGAGGTTATGTCCAGGTCGGTTAAATTATAGAAAACAAAGTCCCAAATCCACCATTGGTCATGGCACCCGTTTACTGGTCCTTCAACTCCTTCAGTCTCCTGATTGCAGATTTGACTGTGACAGCAGAAGTTGTGCTGCAAGAGAAAACAGGAACATTCTAAAGGTGCAGTTTCATGAAAATACCAGTAGATTCCCATCCACCACATCCAGATGCTAACAATAAGAAGTGCATCTTTCCAAAATTTTTTAAAACTCTGTTGAGAGAAACCTCGATGATGCTTTGTTTATAGGCATGGAAATGGGCTTACTATTGTTCATAGAGCTGGTTTTTAAATTACTGGCCACTTGAAGAACCAAAATGAAGCAAATCTGATGTATGGTTATTCAAATTAGTTTAGATTTTTAACTGTCAAATTTGCAACATTTTTCTACTGTGATGCATTTAGTGACAACTCAAAGGCTTGCAAAACTTAAGTCTAAGATTTAAGTTTCTACTTAAGTCTTCCTACTCACAACCTGTGAAACATGCCAATGAATAGTATCCAGGATTAAATATGGAGCTTTTCAGTCTAGGCAAACACTTCTCACTTTCCTCTGCTACCTGCGATCATTCCTGCGTCAATCAAACGCCTGTTGATGTATACAACCCTAATTTCAGGTCAAAGCTAGCCCCTAACAATGGCCAAGAGGAAAGTTGATTCTGAAAACAGAGCCTTTCTAAACCGGTGGGAGGCTGAATATATGTTTACTGACATTGTCGGTAAACCCGT